TCAAAGTGAAATTTGTACTCTGGAGTATGAATGTTCGTAGGAACCTAAGTAAAATCAGTAGCTTCTACAGAGGCTCAGGCGACCGAGTTTAAGTGAAGTTCCTCTGCTGTGGTCAGGTGGAGTAGTTAAAGACCTGAAGCAGTGCTGGGGCTGGGAGCACCAAATGCAGCTTGTGGTTTTAAAGTGACAGGTATCGTTTACATGGTGTTTAGCTTGGAGCTGTTTTTATGGTTCAAATCACCAATCTACGATGCTGGCAATACAATGCTAATTACTACTTTTCCTGTAGTTTTCCAGCTTACTCGTTAGCTTCATCTTATTTTTTTATATGAATGACCAAAATGACAAAAGATAAGTGTGTAAGAATCAGTGCTAACTGGACTACACTAAGTATCAATAAAGTAAAAAGTTTAAAAGGCTATATTTTCAGTTCACCATTGTCAGTGAAAAATACATATTTGTGAACAAAACTAAAGGAATTGAATCATTTAAATCTTAATATGCAAAATAACTTATGTCATTATGTAAATATTTTGTTCCACTTGTAATTTATAGCTTTGGTTTTAGCTTTGTTTTAAGCTGCAAACTGGTGTCTAAGAGATAAAAGAATGTAGTTAACATTCTTGGAACATTATGCTAATGGAATTGAAAAGGATAAAGAGATCCTTTTTATTATTTTTTTTTTCTTTAATACCCTTTTCTTAATACTGAAACTCTCATTAGGCAGTCATTTGCATTTGTGGTTTGTTTTTCCTCCTCCATTCCCTACGGTAAATCTGAGGACTGTTTGCCTTTTTTCTCTGCAGAAGAGAAAACAAACATTAAATAATGGAGGGGAAGCTTTCTTTCAAGACAGCTCAACTGTTTGCTGGATTCAGCAACACTCAAACCATTCTAAACCAGGCTAAGCTATTCTTTTGGTTATAAAGCATAAAGAGAAGAGAAAGAAATAAAAAGTTAGTCCTTTAGGCAAAAGGAAAAAGCTTCTCTTGACTCTGGAAAAGATGCAGCTATATTTAGTTAATGATTATGTTTATTTTGGGAAGGTTGCAGCAGCCGATTTCATTTTGCGAGAGTGTGAACATGCCTGTTGCTGGTGTCAGTCTGAAGGCTTTTTCTTTTTGTGTTTTGATGAAGTACCACTGGATCTCATTGTAATCTATACTGAGGGGATGGGAAACAGCGGGGTTTTTTTGTCAAGGGAGTTATGTTCATCTGATATGAAAATCTTAATTGGAAGGGTCAGTAAGGCTTCCCTATATGACTTAAGTAGCTGTAGCTTTGTGCATAATGAATATGCAAGCATGATGAATAATCACACACTATAGGATAAATTTGTTTCCCCCCTATTAACTTATCTAACATAGCAAAAGGAAGAAAAAATGAGGGCTCTTTACTTGAATTAATGGTTTGGATGCAACCACTAATGGTAACATGGCATGTAAAATTTTCAAACTAGTACTACTACAAAAAGAGGTATATCTCTGACTGGCTAGGTAACATTGTGTAACTAAGGCTTGTTTATGTGAAGAAGGATACCAACATAGTAAGTCTGTTTAGAAACTGATGTATCAGTGGTACTCTTGCAGGGATGCTTCTACCAAAAGGAGGTCATTACCATCAGGGAGTTGCAGATGTTTACAGCAACCTCACCAGTACCACCTTGAAACTCCTGCTGTAACAGTGCTGCTATTTCTGGTTTGCTACCAATTGTCTGCTACAAACACTTGCATTCACTGCAACAGAATATCAGAAAATATTATTTTTTAGCATTTCAGCCAGTTATTAGAAGAATTTATCTGCTTTAGCCTGGATGGCCGCTGAAAATTGGCTAAAGTTAGAACATTCCAAGAAGATGGCTTTATGCTCAGGCTTCTGCATAAAAACCATAAAAGGAGAAAAATGTTCTTTCATGTGTCCCAGGAAATCATAAAGGAGTGAACTTGCCATCAACAAGTCAATGGGCTCTGATGAGTTCCTTCACACCTGTGAGTGCTGAAGGAGCTAGCAGACATGACTGCTAGGCCCCTCTCAAATCCTTGAAAGGTTATGGCAGTCAGGAGAGGTGGCACAGTACTGGTGGAAAGCCAGTACTATCCTGGTTTTCAAAGAGGGCAAGAAGGAGATCCCAGGGAGCTATATATAGGCCAATTGGTCTCATCTAAATCCCTGAGAAGGACATGAAACTTTTCATCCTGGAGGCCACCTCTACGCACATGGAAGACACACAGATGATGAAGAGTAGTCAGCATGCTTAACCAACCTGGTTGCCCTCTATGCTGAGACACCTACCTGAGTGGATGCGAGGGAAGAGCATTGGATGTTTACCTGGACTAAGAGCAAGGGTTTTGACACTGTCTCTGGTGTTATTCTTGTAGGCAAGCTCAGGAAGTGTGGGCTGGATGAGTGGACAGTGCCAGTTCTCACTGCAACCTTACTGTCCACTCATCCAGCCCATATTTCCTGAGCTTGAACTGCAGATCCCCAAGGTGTAATCAGATGCAGGGTCTCATTGGAGGTCTGTCTCCAGTGGTGTCCCCAAGAGTTCAGTACTGCTCCAGTATTGTTTAACTTGTGCATCACTGACTAGGATGAAGGGGCAGATGCCTCCTCAGTGAGTTCACTGACAATACAAAGCTGGAAGGAGGGGCCAATACCCCAGAGAGCTGTGCAACCCTTCAGAAGCACTTCAAGGGGTTGAAGAGATGGGCAGAGAATAATTGTCTGAAATTCAACAATGTATCTAGTTCTGGGCTCCTCCGGGCAAGAGAGGCATGTAGCTCCTGGAGCATGTCCAGCGGAGGGCAGCATAGATGGGGGCTGGAGCATCCCAGTTATGTGAAAAGGCTGAGGGACAGGGCTTATTCAGTCTGGAGAAGATTGGCAGAAGTTCACATCAATATGTATAAATATCTCAATATCTGATGTGTGGGCATCACAAGGATGGAGTCAAGTTCTTCTTAGTAATGCTAAGTAATGGGCAGAAACTGGAACACAGAAACATTCACCTAAACACGAGGAAAAAATTCTCTACTAACTGAGCACTGGAGCAGGCTGCCCAGAGCAGTTGTGGAGTCTCCTTCCCTGGAGTACTCAAAAGCAGTCTAGAGAAAATTGTGACTACAATGTCCTAGGGGATCCTGCTTGAGCAAGGAGGCTGGTGACCTCCAGTGGTCTTCCCCTGACCTATCTGTTAAAGAGGAACATTAATTTCCCTGAAGTAAGTGAATCCTGGAGAGAAGATTGCTCTTTAACCATCTGTTGTTCTGTGGCATGTAACATGATTATACATACTCCATTGTATGTAGAGTGTATCTCAGCCTGGTATGATTGACAACAAAGTCAACTGGGGCTGGTTCAAGCTTTTCCTTCTCTTGTGGAAAAGTTAATTACTGTTTAATTTTAAAGTAAAACTTACGTCCAATACAACTTTTCAGAATGTGCTTGGTATTCATGCCCCTCTCCTCTTTGCCTATTTTTTCCAGAGACATGCTCATCTGTCTGCATTCAAGGGTTTTTAAAGATAGAGACTGTTTCAAAGTAGCTTAATTTTCTCTAAACTCTCAAGGTGTTTTTGTGAGTGTGATGTTGAAAAAACAATATTCAAGTGAGATCTTTTCAAGGTTAAATAGAGGGTAATAACAATCTCCTTGGTCAAAAGAACCTTTCTGAATACCTTCCAGAATAAAGGTGGTGTGTGAGGAAGGTGAGCTTTCTCGCAGAGATCATGTGTTACTGTTCCTATTTGTTTTGTAGTCTTTGCAGTTTTAGAGTTTGTTTTGATGGCATATTTTACAGGAGAGAAGCACACTATGTTATCTTTTTCTCCCTTTGTTCTTTTCAGGCTGTCATTGTACTTCCTAAGAAAATAATCCCAGTTTTCCTTGTATGTTTTTTCACAATAATAACATGCTATACTTGTTTTTTAAAAAAAAAATTATCTTAATTATTTCTGAGCCTCTGCAATTTCTCAACATCCATTTCAGTTCCAGTACTCTCTTCTGTGTTGCTCACCAAATCCCACTAGTTTTGTGTCAACTGCAGATTTTGTAAACATACTCATTAGTGAAGAAATTTAAAAGACAATTGAAGATAACCATGCCCAGAATGGATTTCTCTGGTACTCTGAAGTGTCCTGAGTTATTAAGCATTCATTCCTGTGCTTTGACCTGTTGTCATTCTGGAATCCCGTTATCTTCGTGTGCCTGTAGTAAGATGATTTGTTTTCTAGTTCTGGCTCTTCCTGGCCTGTTACGCAGCCTGCTGGAAATGATCAAACATCTTTTGTTCAGTGGAGCAGACCCAGAATTCTGAACTGAAGGCAGATTTCTTAGGGAATACATTTTGCTGTTCTTCCTGTGGTTAATAGTGCTTGTAGGGCAAATATGAATTTGCCCATCTTTAAATATTCTGTGAGTTTGCCTCGTAAGTAAAAGATGCAGGTGAAATCTATCATTATTAACTTATTCTGGTGTTCCTTTTTAGAATCATGTTAATTTCAGGGCAGTGTCAGAATGCATAAAGAAAACTAATGCTGTAGAACTTGGAATATACTGGATTGGTAAAAATAATTTCTTTGCTCTATGGTTACAACAACTGTGGAGATTCAGTTTAGTCCAGGTGAAAAACAAGTATAGAGGACAATGGGTTTTCTTCTTCAAATAAGACTCAAGTCAAACCACTATTCAAAGAATGGTATATATTTCATGCATGTAATATATGTTCTGACTTGGAATATGCTGTTAGGTTAGAAAGGAAATCTATATAGGCAGTGAGCCTGTGGGCCTTTGAAAAACATGACTTGCCCTGAAAATTCTGTATAAATCACAGCTACACACCAGGAAAATCTTATGACAGTTTGATTAGTAGAATTTCCTGTAATTTTTTTTTCCTCCACTTTCACTATTTTTCCTCCAATCAAATTTGAGTTGTGTTGCTCTCTTTTTTTCTCCCAAGTGTTTATCTTTGTACTTTTCTCCTTCCTTTTTTACAGTTACCAATTTTTTTAATTTGCCTTATGTTTTCTGCCAGAATTTTTTTTTCCTTCATCAGTGCTGCTTATGCTGGTGTTTCACACAGTGACTGCAAGGTAAAATTACACTACATAAAAAATACTAATTTTTATAAGCTACTGCTCACTCTTTAGACAATGAGATCCAATTATGACTAGTTTTTCATCTTCGTGAAATACGGACTTTGGTTTTGCCCATATGCAAACATGTTTAAGACAGTGGAATCTAAGTAAAGCTGAATTTGGCAAAAATTTTGTAATTGCTATTAACTTGACTTTCATCCTCCCTAAATATGTGGGTTTTGTCATACTTAACTTCATCATATGAAAGGGCATATTCTTGTCCTGGCAACCAGGAAAAAAAATTAAATGGCACAGACAGAAGAAGAAATTCTAATTCTCATTCTCTGAAGAGAAATTTTTTTGAGTTCTTTTGTTTTCATAGTATTTTTCTAGGTCCTGTTTTATGTGTGCTTGGTTTTCAGATTACAAGACTGTGAATCCACAAGCAAGGCACAAGTTATATAATTTTATTTTTTTTTTAAATTCTTGAGCAGTAGATTATGTTTGTAGTTTCTCTGTCATGGTATCTGTTTTCACATAATACAATAGCAACTGAATACAGTTAGAACATACTGGAAAGTTTTATAAATCAGTGCACTGTATGAAGTAGCAAAATATTTTATCTCACCTAACTAAACATATAATATTTGAGATAAGTCATGGAATTCCTCATTAGCCTTCTTACCTCAAAAATGTATTTTATCAAAAATCAACCCAGTGAGTATGATCATAAGGAAAAGCAGTAAAATGGGGAAGGAAGTGGTCTACTAAGAGAGAACTGTTTCAGTATTTTGTTAAATATGTTCTCAGTGTGCAAGGGCAATTTTGTTGTGTACCCTAACAGTTTTCCCAGGTGAGTGACTGCTATCTGCTCAGCTACACAATTTGATCAGAAGTACCAAAGGCAAATAGCAGAGCTGGGATGAGTAAGTTTTTCTAGAGGCTATCAAACACCTGGATAAATTGGAGCCATCTCTGCTGCTACTCAGCTTGCAGAGTAATGACAAGATAAAGCCTTAAGGGTGTTCTGTCTGTGCTCCCCTATGAGCTCATTGCTAACTGCTGTAGGTAAGTAGGACTCTGGAGATATTTTTATTTTCTATTTATACTTCTTCCTCACTAAATCAGGTGCATGAACATGAAATACAGCTACTCAAGAAGGAAGGTATGCAATTTAAGACATGGAGCTTTGTTTTCAGCTGGTCTTGTCAATATGCAGACTTTTTCTAATTTAGTGTTCAGTTTGGTTAGGATATAAGAATAGTTTAATTCTGTTTAGCTTTGAACAACTGATCTTGAAATAAATCCTTCAGCATGGGATGGTATACAGGACAGTCATTCAGTAATGCTAATGGAAGATGTCAGCTTTCTGCTACTGTTGTTTACATTAGTCACTGCTTCTAGTGATCTGCTGACATAGCAATTCATATTACCACTTTTCACACAATTCAGATAAATCAGGTTAATTTTGGCTGGTAAGCTAAATTGGATGTGCAGGACATGATCCAGAAATGTGCACTCACAGCCCAGAAAGACAAACTTGTCCTGGAGGGTATGCAAAGTAGTATAGCCAGCAGGGAGAAGCCCTCCCCCTCTGCTCTGCTGAGACCCCACTGCAGTGCTGCATCAGCTCTGGGGTCCCAGCACAGGAAGGACATGGAGATGTTGGAGTGAGTCCAGAGGAGGCCACCAAGATGATCAGAGGGATGGAGCACCACTCCTGTTGAGAAGGGCTGAGAGAATTTGGTTTGTTCAGCCTGAAGAAGACTTGGAAGTAACCTCATTGCAGCTTTCCCGTACCTGAAGGGAGCCTGCAAGAAAGGTGTAGAGAGACTTTTTACAAGGACAGGTAGTGACAGGATAAGGGGGAATGGAGGTTTAGATCAGATGCTAGGAAGAAATTCTTTCTTGTGAGGGTAGGTAGTGAGGCATTAGAACAGGTTGCCCACAGTAACTGTCAATATCCCATCCGTGGAAGTGTTTCAGGTGAGTTTGGATGGGACTCGGAACAACCTGGTCTAGTGTTACAGAGAACTTAATTCTTCATGAGGGATGTGATAAGTGGAGGCAACTTCTAAACCAACAAAATAGGTGATTTTAGAAAAAAAATATCATCCAGTCATATACAGGATATTATACAAGGGATTAATAGTTGTGAAAAAATTGTAAATCCACATGGTCTAGCTTAGCCAGGAACATTTCCATGTTAAGAAAATATCTGTGCTCCTTTTAGAAATCCCAATGAGTTGTGCAGCCTTTTTTGCATTTCCTACTTTATTGCATATACATTCTTCTACTCAGCTTGCAACAGTTTTGTGTTCATTGTTGCAGCAACTTTGCCTGCTGTCTGTCTGAGAGCTAGAGGCTGTTTGGCCTTTGCCATCTTGTTCAGTGACCTGTACATGTTAAATTTAACAACCATTACAAAGCATTGTTTTAATACATGATGTTTTACTCTAGCTGTGTAATGTACTTAACTCGCAATCATGTGCTTGACAGCTCTGTCAATGGTACTTACTGTCCATTTTGTCTTCTGCAATAAATGGTATGTTAGCTGAGACAGGTAGGAGATAGTTTGCCTCTGGCAAAGTTCTCAGAACTGCTGTAACTACATGCTGTCTTCATACCTTGGAAAATCTTCATACTTTCAGAAACTTAGGTATAAACACAGAAAAAAAGTCAGTCAGTAGATGAAATTGTGAGGCTCAACAGAGATCATTCTCAGCAGCTTTGCCAGAGACCTCCTGTGAAAAACTACTAAATTCTTCAAGGTTCTATTAGGTTCAAAGAGTGCTTCTCTCATTACAGCTCTTACAGAAATTTTAGTAGTTTGAAATAAAATATTGTAATAGGACACTACCCCTTGGGTAGGCTTCCTCTCCCATAAATCACAAAACATGTTCCTAGAATTAGCCTATTAGATGCTGAAATGTTTGTGAAGACTAAGCTACCAGGTCTGAATTTGATGGTGCTGTTCCAGTTTAACCTGTGATAGCTGAGGTGTGTACATGGCACTGCTTCTTAATCCAAACCCATGCAGTGGTTTTAGCTGTGGGGTTTTGTGGATGTCTAGAGATATCTGTCACTCCCAGCTTCACAAAGTCACGCTGCACTTTCCATGAAGAGAAAATATAGCCTGCTGACGAGACTTTACATCATGGGACACTCCATTTTCCTGGCTGACAGAAGGCAGAATGGTCTGTATGTTAGTAATGTAACTGCTGCAGCAGTTTGCTGCAATGCTTGTGAGTTGGAGCCCTACATCCCTTGTCATACACTCTTTAATACTCAAGTGGAATATAATGTATTTGATTGTTATCACAATCAAAACATTGTGTTCTGGTCCACCTGATTATTATTATTATTATTATTATTATTATTATTATTATTATTATTATTTCTTTTTAAAAGTCTTTTTCAGTCTGAAAGCCTCTGTCTCAAATGTAGATGTATCTAGTCTCATGGTTTTCAATTATTTTCCTAAAATAGAGACTAATCAGAATTATATTTTAATGAAAAACTGTTAGCAGGGCTATAAACTTTATTTTTAATGCTTTTTGTAACTAAAGGAGCAGAATTTGATACTACTTTTGAAAAGTGTTAAATTAACCCATTTCTCATAAGATACTCAGAGGAGTTAGAAGCCTGTTACAGAATTTCAGTGGTTTTCAAGTATTTTTGTTATCAACTGTCACAAAACAGGAATTGTTTTCCTCCTTTCACTTCCTCTAGAGTGTATAAAACACATGCTGCTAACCAGCCATTCAGAATTTCTAAAAATTTACAACTTACTGAAAATACCTGGGGCTTTTCTGCAAAATTAATGAGGACTTCTTCCACTACAAAATTTGTATAGAATGACTTGCTCAGAGCAATAACAAGATAGAGCAAAACAACGGTCAGGTTTATCCCTGAAGCAGAGAGTGAGAATTTGGCAAAAATTTGTCATCATTTGTTACCTACCTAGTTTTAACTATTGTCTTAAATGACATAAGAGTACTTGAAGAGTATTAATATTAGACAATGAGGAGAAAGATGCAACTAAATCTTAACATAGTAGTACCTGGAAGAAAGTAGGTAAGTTTAATACCTAAGTGTTCATTTGTTTGGGATAAAAGATGAAAGTATCGAGGAAAATAAACCATCGTGCAACTGTGGAATTGTACTGAAGAGATGTTTGTCTAACAGGGGTTTAACACTAGTGCACTTGCTAATTTCAGTAAATGTAAAGGGATGCATTTAAATGGGTCATCTCTGATTAGAAGCTTTTGAAAGCAGAGGGATTCCACTCCAGGAAGTGGAATAGGGAAGCCTATGAGCTAGGTAAACACACTGTCCTTAGTTACAGAGAGCTTGATATTAATATTCTGGGTGATAAAACTAGGGTAATATGTTGTTATTATTCTATTGTCCATAATGTTTATATTTTTTAAATTGTTTCCTGTATTATTTATTGGCCCATTGTTTTTATTTCCTATTTAGTGCGGCAAATGAATTTTTCTAAGTGTGTCAGGGGTACAATCCTCTGCCTCATTATTTCCTTCATGCATTCTAACATGTGCTAACAATAACATTAAGGACAATGGCTGTGCACCTTTTGCCCCTGACTGCCATCTGCCTTTTCACCAGGCCCAGTATTGTGAACAAATTATCAAGAAAAGCAGGCTGTCAGTGTCAGTATTCCTGGGTATAAGGGTACGTTGACATTTAGGTTCATGAATGTTAGTATGTGTGGTGTACAGAATGGTAAGCAGCACAGATGCATAATTGTATTAAAATTTCTCCGGGTCTTGCGAAAAACATGGAGGACCTGCATTCTGCTGGTGAACTGCTGAACCTCTGCTAAGACTGGATGCATTAAGAATAATTAACAAGGAAGGAAAGAAATTTGTGTGTGGATAGATGCAAGCAGACTGAGAAGAGTAATAAGACGACCATCCCCCCAGTGACAAAATAAAGTGACATTTTAAAATTAACTGGAAACCAGTTCTGGAATCCTGTCTAAGAAAACCCTAGAGATGAGGAAACTAATCAGTTATAAAAAAATAAGCTAATATAGCCCTTGATGTAAGAGAGATAATGACCAAAAAACCCCCAAGCTAACAACAATTTAATTGGAGATGCAACTCCTTGTGTAAGGACTTGTTGTTCAGTCCTTGTGAAAGGACTGAAACAGGTATGAAGCACATGGAAATGTCTTGCAAAGCATTCATTATCCTGCACCACTGTAAACAAACCAAGCTATTTTTTTGTCATTAGAAAATTATTGAGGGCATTACTGTTCATTATTTAATTGGAATTTACTACCATAAATTGTGGAAGAGGTGATAAAGGTTCTTGCAACAGGAAAATTGTTTTGAAGTAATGGTGAGAGTTACATCTCTTTCCTCTTTCAGCAATTTTTCCCACATCACTCCCCCTACAGTCAGCTGTTGCCCTGCCTGTTCAGGAGGACTTGCAAGAGACTAAGCTTGCTACTTCTGCCATGGCATAGGACAACCAGAAGAAAAACTTGGTAATTTTGTTAATTCTGTTTGCTTCTGCTGCTGACTTGCGTCCTTCCAACTCTTTCCTCAGAAGCCAAGGTTATGCAAGTATGAAGTAAAACCTACTCTTCAGGTTGTATAGATTGCTGAAACAACTTATTATTGCTGTCTTACCCAAATACAGCAGGTAGTCTGCTCTTCTAAGATGCTTCCTACTTTGCCTGGGCCAAAAGCTATTTTTTTTTTTTTTTCCACTTGTGAGACTCTGTAAAGGCTGCATTTTAGAACCTAGGAAAGAGCTATATTCAGTGCAATCTAAATAGAGATTGCACAGGCATGTCTGTTTCTGAAGCCACAGCACAGAGGGAGGACTTTCCGGAAGAACCCCTGAGAGCAAAGGTGTGGCTCAAATCCTTGCACAGGGCAGATCCTAACTGGAAGGTTAACCCTAAATGCACTAGCAGCGTGCTAAATTCAGAAACCATCCCAAAAGCTAAATAGAAATTGTCCACTTAGGAACTGATTGGCTTGTTGGACAGTCTATCTAGCCTTGTTACCTAGGAAATTGATCTGCAAAACCTGTGTCTGTCACAACACAGAATTTTTGAATAAAGGAGTTGGACCTTATGCATAAGTAAGGGAAATAGCAGAAAGTTTTCATTCCAGCCCAGTTATCAAAAATCTGTGGACTGTTGGAGACTAACCCAAATATATGGGAGACTGTGGTTTTCACTATTACATAGTCAACATCCACAGAGAATAACATTGATAGGATATGAAACTGTATTACTCTGGCAAATCTAGAGATGAGGCTCTGTTATCAGCATCATTGATGCATTCATTGCTATTCCTTGCTTCCTGTACATCACCTATTAAACATGAAGAATTTTGGCCGCTTTGAAGAATGAAGGATAACCCCAAAAATATTGCTCTTTCTACATACCCATTCTCTTTTCTATAACTAGTTCCTGTGTTAGAGTGGATGGGGATTTTTTTATTTGTTTTATGGGGGTTTTGTCCCTGGTTTTGTGTATTTGTTTTTCGTAAATCTGCCTTTAAATAGACATGAAACCTGATTATTTGTATCTGTGTTTCTAGCTGGAATGTACAGGCTGTCTAGAAGAAAAATGGCTTTTTTCTTACCTGAGAGAAGAGCTGAGGAAGCACAAGAGAAGGTAAGAATAAGAGAAAAGTCATAATGGGAATAAGAAACAAACCCAGTTCAAGCTAATTTATGGGAAAAAAATTCAGGCCAAGGAGTGTGAAATGGAGGTTCCTGGCAGTTAGTTCCTCATGGCTGCTGCAGGTTTTTCTGGTAGCTGGCATATAACTTCAAAACTAACTTCTATGCTTTGCTTCATCTGATAGGTGTACTTGGTACACCCTGTATAAGCAACTTCACACAGCAGCAATTATGATTGTAGTTGGTTAGAGGATGATCTTAGGGATAAAGAAGACTTAGTAGAAATTGTAAACAAGTAACATTTTTATCATGTTATCATGGCTCATGTACGCTATCATTTTTTGTTATGGTTAAGTGAGTGCTATGCCAGTTTAATATACTAGTGTGTTAATGCTGCTGCAATTGTGGAGAGACTAAATTGGGGGTAAAGGCAATCCACCTCCAGAGATCTCAAATTTCAATTATTATAAAAATGTTTTTTTCCAGGCATAGTGCATTCCTTTTAGGTATTATATTGTTGTGTAATTTTATTCTTGAAACAGGATGGCTATTTGTATACACAGGTGAGTAGAAAATTTGTTGTTAAAGGGACTGTGTGGTAGTTACCACAAGCTGTGCAACAGACCATACAACCTGCACATAGGTTTAGGAATGGAGGTCTGCAGTTACACTGAAGCTTTTATTTAATGGCCAGGCTTTGCCAGAGGCCCTCTGGAAAATCAAAGCACTGGTTTAAAGAATTGGCAAAGATCTTAGTGCAGATGGGACTTGAAATGTCATAGATGGAACCTTTCCTACTTTGTTTCTGAAAGTACACATGTGTGTTCTGGGTTTGTCCCTCTTTGGAAATTCTTATATTTTTAACTCAGATAACAGCAAGTGAATTGATGCCAAGACATTATGGAACTATGCTGCACATAGCTACCATATTTTCTTGTCCTGACAAATACTGCTTTCACTTTTTTTTTTTTTTTTGGTACCTTGACTTAAAGAAAGCAGCATTATTTTGCATTGGAAGCTAAACTGAGCGGACTGTATTGATACTCTGGTTCAGAACACTTACACTGGCTTTCTTATTATGTACTCCTGGCACATGGAGTTGTGTTAACACGTGATGGTAGAATTTCTACCCAATCCTGCCATGGTGGTGCATTTTCTCCCCCAGTATTTCCTTACGTCTGCAATTGTGCTGTGGAGAATAATATTCTTATGCTGAAAATGTAATTTGACCAAACATCTAAACTCTTGCAATCCCCACTTTGAAAGCACAAAGACAGCATGCAATTTCCCTGAAAGAAGGAATAAATTAGTGGCAGATATATGGACAGCACATAGTCGCCAGCTCTTTATCCAATGATCTAGGTGGCAGAAATGTTAAATCTGTGTTGATAGAATGAATTCCCTCTTTCAGCTTGGTAATTTGCATTAATTACTTAATGGAAAGAAGGATATTTTGAAGCCATTCTGTAAAACAACCATCAACAAGAATTTTGACAGGTAGGTTAAATACTTGTCATTTAAAATTTGGTTTCTCTTTAGTAAAAATTATTTAGAAAACAAGCCATCCAAGAATAGATAGTGAAAATAAATAGTAACTTATCTTACCCTTGAAATTTGCTGAGTAACTTCACGAGGTGGAAGTGTTTGTAGGAGGATGTACTTTGAGCAGGGCTTTGTAAACATAATCAAATCACTGTGCACATGGCAGCATTGTTTGCTTCTAGAATCTACACTAGATGGGTTATGTATTACAAATCTTATGCAACAGTTATATTATTGTGCAATTAATATCTTTCAAGTTTTGCTAAAATACTTTGCTGTTTTCTTTCTAATACGATAGAATTTCTGCGATCCATCCAATCATAGATTTTTGCATTACAAGGTTTTTTTGGTGCCATCTCTAAAAAACAAGTTACAAGTGTGCTGCAGTATTGGGCCTTGCTGGTTTGCCATGTAGCTGGAGGCCGGCTGGATATCTGTGACTGTTCAGTTCCAAAGGAGCCATTTTGTGGTTGTGGGGTTTGGGTTGGGTTTTTTTGCAATATGATTCACAATCCACTTTCTTCAAGATTCACCACCCACAACTACTTTTTGGCCAAATTTAAGACTGAAAAGAGGGGACCCAGTAGTGACTGAGTCACTTCTGTTGTGTGCCAACAAGTTGCTCGTTTGCTGATTAGCCACCTGCTTTTGGTCTGGATTATATCCAGACCTGCTCCAGCTGGCCAGAGAATGGGAATGTCAGCTGTAGTCAAGGATACCTGCAAAGCACTGAGAGCTGCAGTAAAGCATCTTTGAAGAGAAGAACAGGGAAAGGCAAATTAAAGGGAAGGCAAGGGAAAAATAGAGGCAAGGAGCCAATTTCTGATCTCAGCATCACTGATGTCACCAACACAAATTTGGTCCACAGAGTGCTGAGCAAATGAGAATAGAAACAGGTCAGAGGGAAAGGTGACAGACTAGCACAGGTGACAGCAAGGGGAAAATTAATCATGTCTCAAGTGTAATCCTAATGGGTCCTCTGCTTTAACACTTGAAATGTCTCTTACTCATCCAACAGCATAAAATTAGTAAAATCTTTCCAACAGTCAGTCTGTCTTTCATAGCAGCTCCAGACAGGGATTTTTAGTGGTGGTGTAATCATCTGCAGATCCATTTGAAAAGCTACATGCTTTTCAGATCTAATGAAGAGGAAAGGTTTAAATCTCCTTATGTTTCAAGTGAAATCCTATAGTTACAAACATCCTTAGACTTAAGGTCCTCTTTCTTGTAGTGTCTTACACATTTCCAAGGTTGCTTAATTTGTTGGTGAATACCAAGCTTCAACTGTGCTTTACAACATGTTTTTGTAAACAAATTGCAATAAGCACAAAAAAAATTACCTTCCTGAAATATTTTCTTTTGAAAAGGGTTATGAAACTCTTTTGGTGAATCAAAAAAGATGAAAATAAATGTTACGTTTTTTGTAAGGATTTTTGTAGTTGTTTTACTAGACTATTCATTCTGAAAGTAGTTTTTCTGCTTCTAAAATAAGGAACAAAAAGTATACCTGAAGAATCCCTCATCTGCTTTCAAGTATTCTTCAATCTAAAAAAGTTGTGTTTAATTAATTATTTATTTATAGTGAATCCATTCTAAATTCTTTCATTTTTTGAACATTTGCCCCTGGAAAGTTGCTAGGGGTTTTTATTTGTTTCTTTTTCTTCGTTTGTTTTTGTGGTTGTTTTGTTTGGTTGGGGATTTTTTTTTTTTGGTTTGGTGGTGGTTTCTTTCCAGGGTTTTTTAATTTGTTTGGTTTTGGGTTTTTGTTTCGTGGGTATTTTTTTGTTTGGTTGTTTTTTGGGGTTTTTTTAGGATTTTTTTAATAGATTAACCAGCAATCATAAAACTACGGCAAATAGCCAATTTCATGTGTCTAGGGACCACAGGGGTTAATATGATTCAGTATGATAATATACATTGTAGTTGCTGCTTTTCTCTAAATAGAAATAAGGCTTTGGAATTCTTTGTCCACTTGAATAGCTATAAGATTTTTGGCAGTGTTTGAGAAGTCTCACTGAGCTGGGGGAAAGGAGGCAGTGTCTCATATTCCTACTTGCAGATACTTGGAGGCCTGATCTAGCAATACCGTGTGCTGTGTTGATTTTCTGACTTCTGCATTAGAAAGTATGGGGTTTTTTTGCTGATTTTCTTTTGTAAGTGTGAATTTATAGGAGATTGACTTAAAGCTGACTAGCTTTCTCATGTCTGAGAAATCACATTTTTAAAAAGGAAAAGAAAGCAAAGAAAACTCTCCTTCCAGTTAGTTAGAGTCTTAGACATAACTAAGACAGATACTGTATATTTAAACAGAATAGAAATACCCTTGCCCCTAGGAACAGAACTGTCATCTAAGGTCAACTGTTTAGATTAATAAGATATTTGAAATTCTCATTTTCAGATATTTCTGTTGCAGTTTGATTTCTTATATTGTGTAATACTCCAGCCACCCAGATTTGCAAGTGGAAGCAGTCTTCCAGCCTCAGACAAGCCCCTGTTGAGCTGCTGCTCACACAGGACTGTCCTTGTATTTCAGCAGCCTTGCCTGCTGAATTTAACACTCAACATGTTTACAGATTTCCAGGCTGAAACCTAAACAGAGCAGGTGTGTGATTAGCTAATTCACACAGCCAGCTGAGCTTTTTAAAAATTAATTGAAATATAAAAAATATTACATACAGATCCCATATTTTAATACTGCTGGATGAGGTCATTCTCCTAATTTGGAAAAAGCTTCAGTAGGAATAGATATCTATTAAGGGAGTCAACAGGATTGTATGATACTCTGTAATGAAAGTCAAATCCTCTTATTCAGCAAATATTTATGTTTAAGATTAGGAAATATCTGTAGGTTTTTGCAGCTCAGTTCCAAAGCTGAAGAAATTTCAGAATGTGAGATGTCTTGCTGTAGTAAGTTTATAAAATACCTTCATTATTTTAAAATATTTTAATATTTAAGTATTATAAAGTACCTATTATTTTGGAAAAATAAATATAATTGTTTGTTTTTCATTCTTGTACTTGCATTTCTTGTAGAAATTAATTTTGTCTCCCTTGGCAGCAGCTGGAGCTGAGTTATGCTCCTATCTTCCTAGTGAGATTTTTCTAAGTACAGTCATTAGGGAGAGAAATTTGCATTAAGCTGCTAGTATAAAATTCAGTATGCTGTAAATACAGCCAGTCCACTTCTTACCATGGCAGCTTCCTTATTGGTCCACTGATAAATGATCTTCCTACAATGATCCTTCCTGAAAGAGTGATCTGCTCTTTGTTGTATGCCTACCAGGAAATGTGAGTGAAACCCAGGATGTGATTGTAAAAGCTTCTTCCCTTCAAGCTTGATTGGCTTTTTCTTAAACAAAAAGTCTGCTTTTTGTTTAAGATAGCCTTCTCCATTTGGCTGGGAGAAGGAGTCATGAGATGATCATGTGCAGCACATCTCTGTGCTTCCCTCTCAGCAGTTCCTCCTCTCCTTTCTGGCAGCTGCTAGATTGGAGGCGAACTCTGTCCTGCACTGGGTTGGTCCAAACCACATTCCACTTCAGCTGTTTCCAAATAAAAATAATCATCTTTCAAAGCTCAGGCTGCAGTAAATTGCCAACATTTGTTAACACAAAGCATGCTTGTGAAGATGTGTATTGATGACATAGGACCGTAATTCTCAAATGGTCTGATTTCAGGCAAGTGTTTTCAGAAAGATCCTTCAGCCTCTTATTAACATCCCTCTTATTTGTCACTCACTGAGAAGATCCCCCTGATGCATTAACTGCACCCAGGAATAAAGAGGACATATTAGGAACTCTTAGGAAATAAGATAACACTTTGACATGATCATGACTAGGGTCTGTGACTGACATTGTAGTGGTGGGGTCGCTGTACTCTCTTGCAGAGTGATTTGTCACACGTTACAGAATACATGCAGAAAAGTTCCTTGAATCATATGTAGTAAAAAGATCCTGAAATCTGTAATAAAAATGTTTCTCTGAATTCTGCAGTGCAGAATGATATCAGATGAATGTAAAGTATATGCATCGGGAATGCATAAAAAAAAAATCTGTTGTTCTCTAAGGAAAAAAGTATATTTGACCACTTAGAATAAATGAAATTTAGCACCATCTGAACAAATACTTTTCTGCCAGCAATGCCTGCTGTTCCCTAAAATGACAGTCTAGTTGCTCATAGGATTTTCCATTCATTTGTTGCTTGTACAGTCTCGCAATTTCTCCAAGAGTAAGGAAAGTGATACTTTAGCCTCATGTTTCTGGATCTGGAGTGACAGAGAAGACAAGATCCTCTTTCTAAGCAAGAACATGCCATTTTGTACCTTGCAGACCACAGACAATGCACATGAAATTGCTTGGGAAAGTTCTCATGATATCTTGGGAAAGTTATCAGAGAGCTGATTCATTCTTATTCTTTCTTAAATCAGGTTAATGTAAAAAGCAGTTTCTATACAGCTTAATTCAAGGCACAGTATTTTTTAAGGTGCCTAGATGCTTTACAATCTCATGTAACATAATTTAGGAATTTATATCAGTCTTGACATGATGTCAATAACAATATTAGCACAAAAATTAATTTTAAATGTTTTTATTCTATCCTGTGTGTTCAAATTATTTGATTTTTTGATATTTTTTCAATCCAGTCACTTAGTCATTCCTGGACAACTGTCCTCTTGGGTTGCTTGATGGTGTCAGGGAGCAGAATGGTCTGCATGTTATCCAGGAGGAGGCAGTCACAGAGCTGCTGAGATGCTTGGATATTCATAAATCTACAAAACCCCCCTGCAGTACCATAGGCTGGGGAAGGTGTGGCTGGACAGTGCTCAGGCAGAAGGGGACCTGGGGGTGCTGGTGACAGCCAGCTGGACATGAGCCAGCCCTGTGCCCTGGTGGCCAAGAAGGCCAATGGTCCCTGGATCAGGAATAGTGTGGCCAGCAGGAGCAGGGAGGTCATTC